ACAGAGGCCTTGTAGAAAAGCCAGACATGTACAAGTACTACCCAAGTGGAGAAAGCACAAAGCCTCCCCGTCTGCTTCAGTCACGATGCTCATCTATTGAAAAACATCCCAAGATTGTGAGTAGAGTAATGGAGCAGAAACTGGGGCAACTGCCATCTGCTGCCTTCACTAAGCAACGCCAGAGATGGAAGGCTGAATTTGGCTAATGTTGAGATCATTTGTGGCCCTTAGTCTTTGTTGTCCATCAGAAGCCATTCTCTCCTTTAGTATCAAGATACTGACTTTTAAGTCAAAGGGTGGGCATGTGACCCACTTCTGGCCAATGACATGACAGGTGAAGTTTGCTCAGGGGTTTCTGGAAAAGATATTTTTTCCTCAATAATGTCAAGAGAAGCAGAGAAAATGTCTCTCCCTTGTGCTGCCCTGATTCCAGCCACTAAATACAGTTGTGTGGTGCGCTTGTAATTATAGGGCCTATCCTAGGACCGTAAGAGAACTAGAGAGGCACCGACCTTAAACTCTGACATTGTTGAGCTGCTGTTCCCACTGCAGCCACCACCCTCCTCGGGGCTTCTAGTGACAGGCAAATATAAACTATTTGTCAGGCATTCCGTTTCTTGCAAGTAATAGTATTTGTAATTGATACAATATACAAATAAATTCAGATTGTCAATGATTTAGGTTCAGGGACCTTCATGCACACTAAGCTGTAACTATAGTTGGTCTTCCGTATTCGTAGGTTCCACATCTATGAATTCAAAGAACTGTGGATCAAAAATATTCGGAAATAAATATTAGCCGTTGCTCATGGTTGCATCTGTACTGAACATGCACATACTTTTTTTCCTTGTCATCATTCCCTAATACCATATAACAACTATATTTACATAGCATTTACATTGTACAGTAAGTAATCTAGAGATGATTTAAGTACACGGAAGATGTCCATAGGTTATATGCAAATACTACACATTTTCTATAAGGCACTTGAGCGTCAATGGATTTTGGTATCTACAGAGTTCCTGGAACCAATCCCCATTGATACTGAGGGGAGACTGTGTATTACAGCATCTTGGGGAGAGGGTGAGAAATGACTTCAGATCATTCAATCAGAGACTAAAAAGAATGTTAAAGAAACAGATAAATCAAATTTAGTTATTCATTTATTTGTTCAAGTATTTATTGAGTTTCGAGTATTTGACAGGCACTGTGCTATTGAGAATACCAATGAAAGAGGTGGACAAAGCCTCTGCTTTCATGTAGTGTGGACATGAATAAACTTGTGAAAAAGATGAATACCGAATGGCAAGATAAATTGTGGAGACAATGGGAGTTCTGGGTTTGGGAAAGAGTTTACAATTTTGCTTTTTCCTTTCCATTCCAGGAGTCCTTTTATTGAAAAATGAACCAGACTCAGTATTGGACAGAAACTTCCTGATGAGATACATGGAAATTCTGAAACACAAAGTATAATAAATTCTAAATGCCTTTCTATCTGCAAAAGATGGTCATGGCAAGGTGAATGTATTAAAATAGAAATGTGGCTCTGGAAGTGGTTTTTTTTTAAACAAAATAATTAAAGACTGTTAGGAATACCAGACTATATATATCAAGAATTAAGGATAATAGACATTTGTGAATAGTAAGCAAAGTATATATAATAAAAAATAAAATATAATTATACAACTCCATCATTTCAAAGTTGTTAACCTGCCTATATGGTTACCCAAATTTCTCTACCTTTCATTCTCAATAGAACAAGTGTCCCTGATCCTATAAGAAGCCCCAGCCTCCTTCCGTGCTCTGGAATCCATCCTTTTCAAAGTCTGTATTCCTTCAGTTCTCCTTTCTCCCACTGCACCATAAATCTGTCTCTTTCTTCTCTTTCTTTCTCTTTAACTCTCACCAGCATAGAACAATAATGTTTGCGACATTTTCTATCTTTAAAGAAATTCTTTCAAACCCCTGTTTCTCTTAATCTAAAGAGTTTATTGACCCGTTTTTCACTATCAATTTTTTCTGTGATCTCAATAAAACAAGACCTTTAGCCTCTATATTCCAATGGAACTGCCCTTGTCAAAGTTACCAAGTGCCTTGATGTCACCATATTCTCTATGCTTGTTCTCACCTTACTTGCTATCTCAGCAGTATTTGACATAGCTGGCCATTCTTTCTACAAGATTGAACTATATGAAATTTCTGGCTTTGTAGGTCTAAAGTGATTTAGGCGATTTCATTTGGCTCAATATAACAGTGTTACTTTATTTTTTTGTTAACTTCCATGATTCCAGTGTCTGGGGTTTTTTTCCCTTAGGATCTATTCCTTATCCATCTCATTTCTACCTTCATTGCCTTTGCTTTACCTTACTTCTTTGGCATAGGCTCTATTTTCTCCTCTACCTATCATCTCCCTCCCGGTGAGCTCATCTATTCCCACAATTTAAATATCTTCTTTGTGGTGGTGTCTCTTATATTTATATGTGAGTTTCCTCTGCTGTGAGGTCCAGATATATTTTTGCAACTACCTACTCACCCCTCACTGAGAACCACTGCTCAAGAGCTGTCTTCCACCACCTCTCACCTGGATCACAGTAACAGCCAACCAAGCAGGTCTCCTTGCTTCTTCTACCTCTGACCTCCTACGTTCAATTCTCCACATATTAGTAAAACGAGTTTTGTTTTTTTCGTTTTAATCAGAAATCAGTTCATGTCATTTCCCTGATGAAACATTTTACTCTAAATAAAACCATAGTTTTATGTGGGCTAGCCATTGCTCACATCTCTGATCTCACCTCATAAAATTCACTACATTCCAACCACACCATTCCTCAAACATACTAGGCTTGTTATATTCTGAGAGCATTCGGACTTGTTCTTCCCTCTGGATTTCTTGAGGTCTATTTCTATGTCAAACACATAATTTCAGAGTATATCACTTTTCTGTTCAAAATTCTGTAGTACATAGAAACAGACCTTAAGAAATCTAGGGGCTGGCCGAGTGGTGCGTTGGTTAGGATTTGGCTTGGGACACCAGCTCAGAGCAGCAGGGCCCCGGTTCAGATCCCACATGAGGGCCAGTGACGCTGCGCCCTCTACAGCTAAGATGGTGAACAACAGCTCAACCTGGAGCTGAGCTGCCGTGAGTCGCCAGCGAAGGCATAGGCTGCAGTGGGGCTGGCCAGCAGCTGGCGTGAGCTTTCGTGAGCTGCCATGAGCCACCATGAGCGGCCGTGAGCCACTGTGAGCAGCCGTCCAATGGCCGGGGAGCAACTGCCTCACCCAGGAAGAGCGCAATGATAATACCAACATGGTATTGTCGTTGTTGATAATACCAGCAAGCGACGTCCTGCACAACTAGATTGAAGAACAAAAGGACAGCAACTTGTCTGTTCCCCTTCCCCAATCCCCCAATGCTGTTCCCCTCCCCCAATTACCCTATAAAATCTTAAAAAAAAAAGAAATCCAGATCTTGGAATTAAAAGAACTTAATAGCAGTTACTACAAGTACATTTAAGAATGTAAAGCATGGTCATAAGAATGAACAGATGGAGAATATCAGCAGAGAAATGAAAATGACAAAAAAATAAATGTAAGTTTTAAAACAAAAGTACAATATCTGGAATGAAAAATTCACTGGATAGTCTAAACATCATTATAGGTTGGAGAAGAAATGATTAGTGAAATTGTAAACAAATTAATAGCAATTACCTATTGTGAAGAACATAAAGAGATTTACAAAGTATGAAGATAGCTTTAGTGACTTGTAGGACAATATCAAGTAGTCTAACATATGTGTAATTGGAGTCCAAGAAGGAAACGGGAGACATAATGGGGTGGAAAGAATATCTAAAGAAATAATGGCCAAAAATAGCAATTTCTATTAAGCCTTCAACATGCTATTTATGGGGTTGATGACTCCAAAAATCATGAATCCTCAGATTCCTTAATGACTAGCATTCCCCCATTTTTTTTAAGACAATGAACTCCCCCAGGATTCCCTTCCTCTCCCCCCCCAACTTCCCTCCTAGGCCATTCATAGACTTAAGTAACAGCAAAACCAGGCCACAGATGTACTGGGTCTAATAAGGAAGGAAAGGGATTGCAGAATCTAACCAACATGTACCAGCAGGAACTGAGAGATTATGTGTGGCCCTGGATTATGAGGGTGAATGATCAAGGATGTGAAAGTTTTCTACATTGCCCTGGATGTGTAAAATGACACAACGATTTTGAAGAAATTGATCGGGCAGCTTTTTACATAGTGAAACATGCACTTGTTCTTTAACCACAAAAATCTCAATCCTAAGTATTTATGTTTAGATTCATGAGCCTATTTTCCTAGGACCTGATGTCAAGGAAACTTTGTTCATTGTGTATGCTTTTCTAATTCCAGTTAATTATAGTGCTTTACAGCGTTCATAAGACAGAGGATTATTTTATTTTCAGGTGATCGCTTTTACTCGCTTAAACACAAATCTTCTGTTTCAATATAAAGTCCTGATATTTACTCTTAAACCTCTTCATATTTTGCAATTCCAAGTCCAAGTTCTCCCAGAAATTGGGTTAAGATAAAGGGAGGTCAAGATATCAAATCGATTACTAGAGATATTGTGTTCCATAGGACTGAAAAAAAACAAACCCAAAACATGAAATTCTGAGCCTTGTGGGGCCCTAAGGAAGCATTTTAAACTCGGCTGCTCCTAAAATATCTATCAGCCTGTCCTACTGGTTTTAGATTACTACTGCTATCTCCGAGGAGGGCTGCATGCTTCAGCCACAGGATCAACAGGTACCTCCTCCCAGCAGGTTCCGGGAGTCCTGTGCTCCCAAGTACAACTCTCAACTCTCGGAAAACACCACTCTTTCTAAGGTGGGCGAGGCCGGATGGACGTGAGGGGCGGGGCGGCGGGGGGGAGCCAAATCTCCTCCCGGAGAGGCAGCCCCGCAGCAGCCAAAGGTTGGAGAAGGCGATCCGGAGGCGGGTGCAGGCGCTCTCTCGCGCGCGTGCGCGCGCGCCCGGGCCCCAGCGCGCAGCCCTCCGGTACGTCCGCCCTCTACCGGGGTGGGAAGGAGGACCCGCCCCTTCGCTTCCCGGGCGGGCTGGCGAGCGGGCGGCGCGGAGAGGCGGGGCCGCAGCGGCTGGCAGTGTCTGAGCCTCGGCGGCCTCGGAGCTGGCAGACGCTCGGGGGAACATGGCGGCGACGGAGGCGGCGGTCCCAGCGCTCCCCAACAGCGGCGGCGTGGGCGCGGGGGCGCCGTCGGGCACGGTCCCCGTGCTCTTCTGCTTCTCGGTCTTTGCGCGACCCTCGTCCGTGCCACACGGCGCGGGCTACGAGCTGCTCATCCAGAAGTTCCTCAGCCTCTACGGCGACCAGCTGGACATGCACCGCAAATTCGTGGTGCAGCTCTTCGCGGAGGAGTGGGGCCAGTACGTGGACCTGCCCAAGGGCTTCGCGGTGAGCGAGCGCTGCAAGGTGCGCCTGGTGCCGCTGCAGATCCAGGTGGGTCCTGCTGGTGGGGGAGGCTGCGCGCCCCGCCGCTGCTCCGACTCCCCGTGCGTCCCTGTCCCCGCTGCGCTCCTCAGGTGCCCCCGCGCCGCCCGGGCCCTGCGCGCCTCGCCGGCTTGGAAGGGTCGCGCCGCTATCGCAAGCCTCGGAGACGGCCCAGAGAATGTAGCGGTCCAAAGGTGACGGTCACCAGCTGTCCTCTGTTTTAGGCGGGGGCGTGGGTCTCCCAGCTGGTGGCTGCGCGCGCGAACGCCCCCCACGTGTGTGGTCCTCAGCCGCCCGCATCCGCTTTGTGTGCCGGGCGCGAGCCCCAGCCTCCTGCGTAACCAAAAGACTGTGCAGTAGTGGCTGAGTTTTTATTTTGAGGCGATGCACAACGAGGGAAAAGAGGTTGTGGGGAGTATTGGCCGTAGGGTTTGTTACTCGGAGTTGTGTTCACCACTTGCGGAAACACAAACTTCAAGGAGTCAGACCCTTTCCCTTCCTCTTCCCCAGCTTTCAGTTTCTTGACCTGAAGCCTCCCCTAACCTCAGGTGAGATAACCTTTTCCTTAGCCTCTTCCTAGGACCTGTCACCTGAATCTGTTGATTGATTATATACCTGCGTCGCCTACATTGAAGAAGTCTTTTGACGCCAGGACTGCAATGCCTTATTAAATATCAACTTCAGCTAGACCATGATTTCCTGGTCGCGCTGGCTGAGAAAGTTGTTATACCTCAGGCTTATCTTACAGCTTTTAAATCTTTTTTTAAAAGCCATGCTCTAATACTACAGTTAGTTGGGTGTCCTGTCCCCTTTTTGCGTTCAAAGGACTCGCTAGAGGATTAATATTTTAGAAAAGAAAGAACATAAAGATATATTTTAGATACTACACCATCAGCATTTGGTCTTTACTTGAGAAACTGAATAGCCATTTCTACGGAAGGCCAAATTGAAACGTGGGATTCAGAGTTAGAAGGCACTTTAATATTCAAGTGTCGTTTTCTGAGGATTATTCTCTAGTTTTTTTCTCAGCTGTCATGGGCAGTGGAATTGGTCTTGTTTCCTCTCACCCAGCACCCTTGCCAGAAGCTTCCAAAGCAGGTACTTTAACCTGGATAAAGTTCCTGTGTTCAGAGGACAAAGGCTTAAGAGTCCACTGCCACCCCTGGAGAGTCTAGAGCAGCGGTTCTCAACCTTCCTAATGCCGCAACCCCTTAATACAGTTCCTCATGTTGTGGTGACGCCCAACCATAAAATTATTTTCGTTGCTACTCTATAACTCTAATTTTGCTACTGTTATGAATCGTAATGTAAATATCTTTTTGTTTTCCCGATGGTCTTAGGCGACCCCTGTGAAAGGGTCGTTTGACCCCCAAAGGGGTCGCGACCCACAGGTTGAGAACTGCTGGTCTAGAGGGAGACAGATGGTCTTGATTACCCCAGAATTTGTCCTGCTGTCCATGTGGAGAATTTGGACAATTGTGGTTCAGTGGTGTTGACTACTCCCTGTTTTTATGTCTTTAAGAGCTTTCATGGCAGTTAAAATAGTCAAGGGAATGTACAGTATAGCATAGGGAATGTAGTCAATAATATTGTAATAACTATATGGTGTCAGATGGGTGCTAGACTTATGGGGGTGATTACTTTGTAAGGTGTGTAAATGCCTCATCACGATATGTGCACCTGAAATGAATGTAATACTGTATGTCAACTGTAATTGAAAAATAAATTTTAAAAAATAATTAAATTTAAAAAGGCTGACACCTCTCTGCAGCCTTCCTTGTCAGTCTATTTAGATTATTATTGCTGCCAAAATACCTAAGAAGTTGGATGCATCTTTGACGAATCCATTAATAAAGGCAAGAATCCAAATAACAACTGAGAAGGTCCTAGAGCCATTCTGAGGACGCAGACTTCTTTGTGATGAATTGTTGTAGTGGCTGCAAGTGAGGGTGGGCTGTTACCTAATGAGATGTTATGCCAAACTAGCACCCCCACCCCCACATCTGTAAGGTTTTTTTTCTCACCCAAGATAGGATTTTTTTTAATTTTGAAAAATTCACAGCCTGTGTCTGACAACTCTTTGTAATTAAATGTTCTGGGAATGAATAATGTATATGTATATACTTGAAATGTCTTATACATTCTCAAAAGGCATTATATAATTCAGGTCACTCGTGGCTTTTGAAATATTTTGCTTGGTGTAGGAGATAACATATAGATAATTTTTTGTGGTGATGTTTAAAATAATTACAATAATGGCACTACTCTTCCATTTAAAAAAAATTTTTTTTTCACTAAATAGTCCAAGAATTCTTAAGTATCTGTTATATAATAATATATTATTAAATGTTTTTAAATGTTTTTCTTTTATATCATCTTATTTTAGTAATCTTGTATTTTGATTTCCTCAGCCAGGTGCCTCCCCCAGCTTAAAAATAGATAATGTGGAGGGATACATGCACACATACATACACCCCCCCCCATATATCCATGTACCTATTCTGATACCTGTTTATAGCTATATGAAAACATATATATGCATATATGTATATATATGTATATATGTGTGTATATACTCTCAGAAGAGAAAGGGAAGATACTGTTTTTCATGACCATTTTACTATATGTTTTTTGGAACCCAGTTTATAATCCTAGAGATAGGAACATTTTATGGCTAGAGTTCTTCCCACAAATATCTGGTAGCAGCTATAAGTGCCTGGCACCGTGAATGCAAACATGAATAAGACCCAGTTCTGGTTCCAACTCTTTCATTTTGCAGAGGAGCAGACCGTCCAGGGGATTGCCAAGGTTCCATGGTAATGGTGGATGTACGAAAGCATGGGAAGGACCTCCCTTATAACTGACCATAGCATTCATGTTCTCTTTTTATGCTTAATGAAAGGATAAAGCTGAATGGAAAATAAGCCACCAACTTGAACTTGTAATGTCATTTGTTTTGATGCTGTTCGTCATTCTTTGGAATAGATGCCTATCATGGGAAGATTCAAGGTGACCCATTGGTGAAGCCATTCTACTGGGATGGTAGGCCCCTTCTTGCAGAGGTAGGGACAAAGAGCATAAGTTTGGCCACGTGTCATCCACTGCTTAAATAATGTGACTTGTTATTTCTCCAAACATAGCCTTACAGCCTCTATGACCCTGGGTCACATACTATGTATTCTAGAATATAGTCTCCATTTCCATAGGGGTCTGAGTTTGTTTTCATGCTTGTTCTGACTGCCATTGCCAGTGACCTTGTAAAACACAGTGGTTGCTTGTGCTACACTGTCTGCACCCATGTTCGGTTAGTGGTTCTATGGGGACTGACCTTTAAGACCCCCATTGCCAGTATTAGGCTATAGTAACTTTTTAGTGTCTTCTTTTATGAAATAGTCTGTCAGAGTGACTAGAGTCTGCTGACAGCTCAGGTAGCCAAACGGCTCTTGTTTCAAGCATGGTTTATGTGTCTTTAGCTTTGTCAGAATGCTTGAAGTCTGAGGAATTTTGAGATGCAGGGGAAGAAATGTAAATGAGAGGATTATGCAGTGGGAATTTAGGTCATTTTTATGACTTACAAGTTTGAAATTTTCAAATGGAATTTCCCAAGTTTTAACTAATGGAAACATTCATCTCTGGAAACTCGTGTAAATTTGATATCATACCTCCACCAGTGTGTTTTCCAGCTTGTCACCAGGGAAGGCAGAGCCCAGAGGAGAGGAAGGAGTGGACGTTGTGAGAAGGATGCCAGCGAGAGGATTTTGCTTTAGTACAGAGGAGGGAAGGCTCTGACAGCTTTGTGTGGGCAGAAGATAAGGGCTTCCCTGGGAAGGTTATTTTGACCTTTTCCTGAGATTAGGTTAGTTGGGAAGGGATTTGGCTCCAGCTTTCTTAGAAGTTTACTGCGGTTATCATTTTAAACAGGGGCATGGACATTTTATAGCTAAAAGAGACTCCAGAGTTCACGGTGGGAAGAGAGAGAAGGCACGCTTAGGAAAGAAGAGGAAAAGGAACCTGCTCCCCCTTGGGCTTGCTGGTTTGAAAGGGGTGATTTTTGAGTATGGAACCTTTACTGTGGGAACATGTGGGAGGAGCAGGTGGAAATCAATATTCTTTGGAAGCCTACATTAAAAAGCCCCAAACCTGTTTTGCCAGAAACAGATCATATAGTAGTAAGTCATTTGGTGACATTTGGAAATCTACTTTATGAATCATCTTCTTAATTCTGCAGACTGTGTTAACAAGTTAGGCAATATTAGTGTGAGTGTATGTTTATTACACATATACATACACACATGTGTATGTGTGTATATATGTATATACACATATATATGGATCTTAGTAAATGGTATTTTTTACCTCATTACAGAAAAAGTTATTATTTTTTTAAAGATTTTATTGGGGGAATTGGGGACGAGGAACAGTGTTGGGGAATTGAGGAAGGGGAACAGCCAAGTTGTTGTCCTTCAGTCTTAGTTGCGGAGGGTGCAGCTAACTTAGCTCCAAGTCCAGTTGCCATCCGGCTGTCCATCGGCAGCACACAGCAGTTCAGCTCAAGGTACCATGTTCAATCTTAGTTGCAGGTGGGCATAGCCCACCATCCCATGAGGGAGTCGAAACGGTAACCTTGTTGTTAGGAGCACATGCTCTCACCAACTAAGCCATTCTGCCACCTGTTGGCAGCTCAGCTTGGACACAGCTCACTGGCCCATGTGGGAATCGAACCGGCGACCCTGTTGCTCAGAGCTCACACTCTTAACCAACTGAGCCACTTGGCTGGCCCCCAGAAAAAGTTTTTTAACATACTGAACTTCAGAGTGTAGTGTATGTTTTCTCTATGAGAGATATCACAATAGCCTGATATATTTATTGACTGATTACATGAAGCTCATTAAATCCTTGAAATAGCCCTATGAGGTAGATACTATTTTTCTTGCTTTGTTACAGGTTAAGAAACTGCTGTTTGGAGATGATAATGGATTTGCCTAATTTAATGTACTTGAAATCAGTGA